GTGTGACAACATGAGTGCTGCGGCTCTTGCTTCGAATCCAGTCCAGCATGCCCGTACTAAGCACATTGAAATAGACGTGCACTTTGTTCGAGAAAAAGTAGCTGCCAAACTGGTTGAAGTACGTTATGTGCCTTCTAATTTCCAGATAGCTGATCTCTTGACAAAACCGTTGTCTCCGGGTCGCTTTCATTCTCTTTGTGCACATTTGCCTCTGCGTGCCAAAAATGCTGCAGATCCTATCTCGGTTTCAAGGGGGTGTATTGGAGACATCACTTAGTTAATATTAGTTAATATTTTTCTGTTATAAGTAGTTAGGGCTAACTAATGTAATTAGCATTAATTACGTATTAAGTCATGTTAGTTAGCATGAGTGGATGACAGCTCACATAATGAGCTAAGGGTTTCTGATCCCTTGCATATATGTTACTGTAAATTGCAATCATCAATCAAGTGAACCATAATCATTTTCTCTCTCTTCTTGAGCTTCTAACAATTTTAATGTTAAATGAAAAAAAAAATAACGGTATTTATTATGATTCAAGTTCTCAATGATAAAAATTATTAGACTACAAATTTCTAAATTTCGATTTTTTTAATCAATGATTAAATTCACCTTTTGTTTTCTAAAATTACTATTAATCGTTATTTTATCCTGTATTTTCGATACCACTCTAATTCATTTTTTGGTAACACGTTCATTTTTTTTTATTAAGTGTATTTACACTGGAGCAATGGTAATTGAGAGCTGGTATTAATATTATCGTCCGACATTTTAATTGTTACATTATAGATCTCATTTAATTCTTCTTATGTACATTTTATATTTTGTTAAAAATTCAATATTTCACTAACTTTGTGATGTTAATTGGTCCATATAGGTGACCTTGGACAGACAGAATGGACTCAATCAACTCTATCCCACATCGGTGCTAGGGACTATGATGTTCTACTTCTTCCCGGGGATCTATCCTATGCGGACACACAACAGCCCTTATGGGACTCATTTGGCCGCCTGGTCCAGCCCTACGCCAGCGCTCGTCCGTGGATGGTCACGCAAGGGAACCACGAGATCGAAATTTTCCCGATCATTCACCCGCACGGCTTCAAGGCTTACAATGCTAGGTGGTTGATGCCCTATCGGGAAAGCGGGTCCACGTCGAACCTCTACTACTCGTTCGACGTGGCACGGGCCCACGTCATCATGCTCGGGTCTTACGCGGACTTCAATTCTGATTCAGATCAATACAAGTGGCTGCAGGCAGATCTGGCGAGCATCGACAGAGCCATCACGCCTTGGGTTTTGGTGCTGGTTCACGTGCCATGGTACAATTCGAATTCCGCGCATAAGGGGGAGGGTGAAGGGATGAGGAAAGCCATGGAGCGAATGGTGTACGATGCGCGTGTGGACTTGGTGTTTGCAGGCCATGTTCATGCGTACGAACGATTTGTAAGTGATCACAATTCCAATTTCGACAAGATTATTTGTGAGGGACTTCGTATATGATTCGCGTACGTAAAGTTTGTCAGAGTGTCGGTTATTGAACTTTTTTCGACTGCAGACTAGGGTGTACGACAACAAGGCTAACGAATGTGGTCCGGTGCATGTTACCATTGGGGATGGAGGAAATCGAGAAGGTCTAGCTATGACGTAAGCACTTCTAACTCGTCTTTCTATTAAGAGCACTCAGGGGGTGATTGAATATGAGTTATGATTCAATTTATCCGGTTATGGACAACCAGCTGAGTTGTTTCATATTCAATCGCCTAACTCAAAATCCAGCTCAACTCAATTCTTTTATTTTTTATAAATGTAATTATTTAATATCAATCATTCTCACACATCATATCAACTTTAGTTCACTATATATCCGCTCACATAATTTTAATTATTTATTAGTCCATATAATCTCTCTCTCTCTCTTCTACTTTTCATCGCATCTACTTTAACCATTACATTTTAAATATTATATAATTCCAAATTCACAATCATCCACTTATTTACTTTATTCAAAATAATTCACGTTACCCAACCAAGTTGGGTTATAATCAGTTGGATTCATATTCAATCGTCCCCTGATCAATTTCTTATTCCACTATCGATTTGATGTGCTCGTATACAAAAAAGGAACACGCCACACACAAAAACGAATAAAGATTCAAAAGTATTCGACCACGATATCATTTTCTCTTTATCTTTTGTGTTTTAATATATTCTTGTTGTTGTTGATGTTACAATAAAGGTTTGAAAGCCCTAGTCCTTCAATCTCGGTTTACAAAGAAGCAAGTTTCGGGCACGGGCGACTGAGAGTGTTGAATAGCACGCATGCACATTGGACGTGGCATAGGAACGAGGATGACATGAGCTCGGTCGTAGCCGATGAGATTTGGTTAGAGAGATTGGCCTCGTCATCTGTTTGCATGGATGCTAGAAAGCCATCGAAAATTCAAAATGATGAACTATAATGTACGTATGAGATTTTGTTAATGTGGAACAAGGGGCAAGTCTTGCAATTTATTTTACAGAAAGTGTTGTAAGTACTCATTTGTTTGTTAGCGATTTTGATGCTAAGTTAGAGGATTGAATTGAAATTTTTTGTTAGCGATTTGATGCTTAATTAGAGGATTGAATTTTTTTGTTACCTAGCTAGCTTGTTTTGGTAGAAAAACAAAGATACTTGATTAGTTTTTGAAAACAAATGATTAGTTTTTGAAAACAAAAATTGTTTCATAGTAACTTTTCCAAATCTCCATAACCGTCAGATCACTTGTTCTCAGCCACTGTTTGAAGACATCGTCCTACATTGATTTGATAAACTAAATAAGTCTAGTTTATAGTCTAGTGGACTACTCCTCCCATCACCAATTAATTTTGAGATGGAACATCACTAAGGTGCAACTAGACTCACCCCTTTATGGTATGGTTCACTGTGTGGGACCGCACCCCTGATGCCCGATTATAAAAATTTTGACATAAGACTCGATTAAAATCCAAATAAAGGTAATCTTTTTCATCAATAGTCACATTCATGCACGATCCACAAGACAAACGTAATTTTCACTCCCAAACATATAATTTCATTGTCTGATTTGCAATTTAGATACGTTATATGAGACGGATAAAAAAGTTAATGGAAAATGATATCAAACTAACACTTTAAACAATGGGCTCTACCAATTTTTGTTGTAAACTTGTAATCCCACGCAACCATTGTGAAAAAAAAAAGAAAAAAAAAAGGGACAACTGCAGATATAATAGCCTCTGTTTATTGTGTTTTTGTGCTTCTTTTTATGTGTTTTATGTGTGTAGTTGAGTCGGTTTTAGGTTGGTTTTCTTGTCTAACCGGTCCATTTTAGTTGATTCCGTGTGTT